TGGGAAGTGGAAGAAAAGAAAGAAAATTAAAGAAGGGAGAAAAAAAAAAAGGAAAAATAAATAAATAAATTTTAAAAAATAAAAGGAACAAAGAAGTGGGGAACAAGTCCTTCTCCCTGCCTATAAAATGCTGAAAAGGCGTCACGGGGCTCTTCGAGTGGGCAAGCGGATCCTCGTGTGAGTTTACAGACGAGTTTCGCAACTCCCCACGCCATGAAGGGCTCTCTCTTCCCTTGCGCTGCGAAGAACATGTTCTTAACTCTTTATTATTCAGAATAAAAACTTTATTTTTTTGTTTTGCCTTTTTTTTTCCCCAGAAAGTGAGCAGCAAGGAATGTATAACTTTCAAAACAAATCTAGCCTTTTCAGCTTCACACACTTCCCACCTAGCTGGATGTTACAAGCATAAAGTATTCAAACCGTGATCTTTTTTCCCAGATTTTATTGCATCGTCATCATCGTTATCACCATTTTTAATAAAAGAAGTTATAGGTTCCTTTCAAATGCTATTTCCAACGCTTGCCAATATGCCATCTAACATATGGCCTGGTAAATACCTCCTGAATATTCAGGGTACAGATTTTTTTATATATATATAAATATGAACAAATGGGGATAAATAAAATTTTAAACACTTAGATTATTCAATGTTTAAAAAAAAATATAAATAAATCTGAATGTTCACCAGCATACACACATTGAAAGACTTACACGTATTAATAACTGTCCAGGGAGTCCCTGTCCAAGCGCTTTTGATGTCTTTCTTGCTATTTAAAAGAAGTGCAATAAAAAAAATTGCTTCCCCGTGGGATCAATCATGTACGAACAAATTCACATTTAAGAATTCCTTTTATAGAAAATTTGTTCATATACCCTGTTTTGATAAAAGTGTAGAAGGTAAAGTATAAAGCCTGTGCATACTCCCAAAGTGAGACACAAGGCTACAGTTCAAGAAGATAAATATCCACTAGTGAAACTATAGAGCAATTCAAGCAACAAATATTGCTACGTCACATAAACTAGAAAACGCTTTTACCAAAGGAAACAAAACCAACCAAAACGAACAAAAGAAACGAGAAGGAGAGGGGAGGGCACATGGCAGGGGGAGGAGAGAGAGAGAAGGGAAGGGGTGAGTACTCTCCAAAAGCCGGGGGCTTGGTGTTCCACTTAGTGACTCCTGTCTCTTACAGATGGGTGAGTTTGGGTGCTTCCTGAATTCTTCCCTGAGAAGGATGGTGAGCAGTAAGGTCTGTGTATGTTGGGTGTGGATCGCAAGGTCCATGGTGGTGATTGTTGGCCATTGGCCCAGCCCCGCTGTAGTCCATGTTGGCAGAGGGAGGAGGATGAGGGAGATGAGTTAGACCAAAGATGGAAGGCCCAGAATTGGTCATGGTCTCCACGTAGTTGCCCCCTACATAGACGGGGCTTCCCTGTATATGTGGATTCCCATAACCGTTGCCTTGAAGAGGATGAGTATCGTATTCAGGTGTCACAGCTGCAGTCCCCGTGTATCTCTTTTGAGGAGGTGGGCAATTATTAAGAGGAGCAGTATACGATGCAGGGATGCCATAGGTGTTTTGATGAGGCTTGTTAAATGGTGGAGGTGACTGGGGCTCGTAGGGGACACTGTTTACTAAAGAATGCATAGAGTTTAGATATCCCCCAGCAGCTGGAGGGACAGGGCTTCTGCTTGGGGACTGTCCTCCTGAAGAGGTCATCATGCCCTTGCCCTTTTGATCCTTTTTGTATTTCATTCTGCGGTTCTGAAACCAGATTTTGATCTGTCTTTCTGTGAGATTGAGCAAATTAGCCATCTCTACCCTTCGTGGCCTGCAAAGGTACCTATTGAAGTGGAACTCCTTTTCCAGTTCTACCAGCTGGGCACTTGTGTAAGCTGTACGGGCTCTCTTAGAGGATGCTTGCCCCGGAGGGCTTTTATCACCAGCACAACTCTCACCTATGTAAATCACACAAAGAACACAATCAGCACAGCGCACCCCGACACAAGAACCACAGACAACAGCCAACAACACCAGCACCCGGAGAGTCCAGCTCTCAGACACGAGATGGATGCACGTGTATGCAATGAGTACTCTCCCTTATGGCATGAGGTGACATGCCAAGCTATAAGCCTCAACAGACCTCCTTTACCTCACTAGTAGCACTGTATGACTTCTAAGAATGGTAGCATACAACGTATCTTGAGCTTTGCATAAAGGAGTAGGAAAAGTTTAAAGAAACACAAGTGGAGTTTAGTAACTTTGAAGGTGAACCTATGGCTCTGCTCACATGGTGGGATCAGGTTCTTCAGGAGCTAGCTGTTCTCCATTGTGGTAAAGACTTGCTGCCCTCTTTTTCTGAAAACCCTGATCTATACACATCAGCCACAGATGCCTGAAAGTTAGGTATCTACAATATAACATTATAACATATAAGCATTAAATCGACGGTATAGTGTTTCTATCACGTCTAGCTTATAGCATAAACATATGGTAGTGATTGGGAAGTATAACGTACATAAAAAGAACATACAGTGGCTAGGCTTGCATATAGGCACACAGACATATTTACATGTTACTGCTTTTTAATAAAATAAATATATGATATGGAAGGCTATAAACAGCAATGTTACCAGGGCTTTAAAAAGCAGACTGGTGAAGACATTTGCTAAAGTTCTGAACTGTATTTCTAAGGATCATTTAAGGGAAAAAGAGGAAGAGGTTAACATAAATCCAACTCTTGGGCATTGGAGCTACCACTGGTGTTATTGATTTGGGTTTCCTCAAGTAATAAACGTGTTCATATACACTTTCATCCCTCAAATAATATTTTATGGGCTGAAGTTCATGGCACTCCGGAATGATTTTTGTTTACTAGGCTTGTAACTTTGCCAATCAGCTTGTTAAAATAGGAAGAGGTTCTGACTGCGTGCAGGGCATTGATCCTGCCTGCATGTGATTATGAGCTATTTTATTCCTGTTACACTTCAGCAGAGATAGGTCACTGTCTTATTAATCTAAGAGCACCATGCCAACAAAGTACTTGGGACAGGCCTCTGGCTTAAGGCCTGGGCTGCTCCACACTGAGATGATTTACTAGAGGGGGGGATTACATAAGAAATGTGATAGATGCAGGAAGGCACAAGTGGCTTAGCCACTAGGAAACAGAATCACTTCAGACCTGTCCTGCAAAGCTGTGAAAGCTTTGCAGGGAGTGGTTTGTTCAGTAAGCTCCCCTTGTGAGTGGTGGCAACCCCTCTCCAAAAGCTCAAGGGGGTCAACTTGGAGAGGAAAAAAGCCTCTTCCCTTCCATCCCTGAAGCAAAGGTGAGCAGAGCTGCCCTCCTCCCTGTCAGATGGGTGGCCAGCCCAGGTGTATCGAGGGAAAGGGGGGGAGTATGTTTCATACCTGAACTGGAACTGCTGTTTTTCTGCTTTGTGTTTTGCCGAGACTCTTTCATCCATGGGAATATCTGTTTGGACATGGTGGGCGAGTTAAGAGCTGGGCTCTTGGTGGGGTTGGCCGGGGCAGGGTTGCTGCTGGCATTTTGAGGTGGTGAGGCAGAGGATGGAGGTGGAGGCTGTGCCTGCTGGGCTGGAGGCGGCTGCGGTGGGGCCTGTGGGTCGGCGAGGCCAGGGGGCTGGAGAGGCTGGCTGGGGAGGGTCCTCATGCAACTTTCACTGATGTCATTGGCCTTGTGGTGGGACACGGAGCTGCTGGGGGACTGGAGGGAGCACGCGGGGCGGTGATACTCAGTTTCCACAAGCGATGAAGATGGAGGATATTGCTGCTGACTCACATTATAAGTGAAACCATTTGCTCCTTGGTAGGGGTAGGCACCATAGATTGCAGAGCTGTCGTAGTAGGTCGCTTTTTGCATTTCGTTGTTTCCCAATATTTATTTCGCAAACTGACAGGGTCTTGACACCCTCGGAGAATAACATTGGCACCCCTCTGTCACGTGGCGCTCTTCCTCCAATGGCCTCTCCGGGCAGACCTGGGGTGTGGGGAGAGCAGAGCAGGGTGAAGAAATGGTACAAATCCATCTTACTTTCAATAGCTAAGTGACATGAAAGCCATAAAAGAAAAAGTGGTCAGCAATATTTAGCAGCATGACTTGGCCTCAGGCGCAGAGCATTTCGATATAAAAGCTGCCTGGATTTACTGGCAGCTACAAATATGTGCTTTGGTGCACTGGGATAGGGGCTTTCTAGGGTTTTTTCTTTCTTCTTAAGAATCAGTGCAAGGGGGTTGATCGTTTATCACTGAGAGGCTGGTTTAGTACCAGTCTCTGAGATAAGGGTGATCGAGGAACCCGTAATGCAAAGGGGCTGGGCTGTTCCTTCATTCCAGCTCTACAATCAAACCCTCTCCTGTAACTGGTGTCATTTTATTTTTAGGCTTTCTCTCCAGGTTACAGCTCTCCATACAACTTCAAAGAAATATATGAGATTGTTCCTGTCTACATGTGCCAGGGGGCAGGAACGGGGTGGAAAGGTTTCCTAGCCAGGGATATTCAAACACCCCGATCCCAAGTGAAGGATTTCGGCTTGTCTATGAAATGCTCAATAGGAAAATAAACAAAGCCAGCGCCTCCTACCCTCTGCGGTCTCACACCACTCCGAGCCGCCCAGGTCTCGCACCCCGACAGGGACGGCTCCCACCCGGCCCTGGAGCATGGCTGGGGCCGCCCCTGGCAGCCCCCTGCCC